AATAGTTTTTTTTAGTAATATCAGTTTTAATAAGAAGCGTATTTTCAACAAAATCTTTAAAAGTTTTTGGAATAACTCTACTACTTTATATTTAAATTCAAACTTTACACCTATTAGCTATGTCCTTATCATCAATTAATCATACTATCTTTTGATATTTTTCATGATATATAAGATAAAAATGATCAGTTTTAATCAATATTCTACCTATTTATAGATCATTGTTACTTTATAGAAATTAGCATTAATAAACACTATTTTAGCAACTTTTATACTTATATCTATTTTTCCTTTACTATTTTCATCTAATCTTTGAAGATATTTAAAAATTGCTCTTTTTTACTGTATTTAATAATAGACATTTTCTTATGAGATTTTTTTAATTAGTTTTTAATATTGATAATTTTTTACAAAGCTTTTTCAAATGTTTAATCATTCTCTTTATTTTTATTATTTAAAAATTCTAAAACTTTGTCAATTGTATTTAAAGAAGAAATATTATTATTAGAATCCTTTGTAGAAAAAAATATCTAGTTATATTTTTTGTATTGCTTACTGTAATAGTATAAGTACCATTCAGACCCACTTATCATAATATGTAGACTTTTTTATTAGTCTAATAAGATAAGATCACACTTCATTAAATTAATATTGCATTATTCTTCTAAACTAAATTTATTAAATTTCTCTCCTATCTTATAAAATTCCTTTATTCATCCAATTTCATCTTTCTAACTATTATCTTTTTCATTTTTCCACTTATCAGCTACTTCCTTAACTTCAAATTCCTTTTCAATTTCAGTTTCCCTTCCAATCAAAATTATAGAAATTTTCTTTAAAGTTTTTAAACTTTCTAAACCTTTCATTATTTTTATGTAATTGATTTTATGAAATACTTTTTTTAGAAAGAAGAGGCATCAAAAAATTAATCAAACAATAATTCTTTTGTATAACTTATTAAATGTAATAGGAATTTATGGTAATTTATAAAATTTAATAGTTTGAAATTATGCTAATATCTATATAAATGCTTAAACTTAAATGCTAATAGTTATAAAATTTATAATAAAATTAAAAAAACCCAGTAGTTTTATATCTTATATTATATACTTTTATTTTATCAGTTTTATTTTTTATAAATTAAATATTTAAAAAGTATTTACAAATTTAATCACATGATTTTATTTTTGAGTATAAGTAAAATATACCATAATTGTACCAATTTTTTGAAAATATATTGAAAGTAATATCTATAATCTTGTAATTTACTAAATTAGCTACTTTTTAAAAATATAAAGTAGTATATTTTTTAATGTTATCAGAATCTAAATCTAAGTATTAACTTGAAGTATTATTATTGAACATTAAACAATCTAATACAATGAATTTTCTATTTTATTTTAAATAGAAATCAATCATTTTATAAGTATATTTTTAAAAAATTTATATTTGTATTTAATGAATTGAAGAATTCTTTTATTAGTTTCTATTTTAAAAACTACTTGTTATTTTACTTGAACAATTTTTATAATATTTGATTTTAATTTATACATAAATAATAAAGATCTATTATTGCTAAAATAATTATTAATGAAAACTATGAAGATATAATACTATATAGTTATTTTAAAAACAAAATTATATTCTTTTTAATTAATAGAAAAAATAAAGAAATGAGCAAAAATGTAGATCTAAAGCTATACTTTAAATTTATAATAAAGGAAGTAAACTTTCTTAATTAGTTTATGAATTGAGATATTTAAATAATTAAATAAAGAATTAGGTTTAGTAATTAAAATTTGTTTAGATAAATATTTTTTGGCTACTATAATAACTATCTTAGTAAAAAATTGCTAGGCTTCTTTGAAATGATTTTTTGAGATACTAAGATTATGAATAGTATTATTTAGGAATTTTGGATTATATTTTAAGATTAAATCCATTTTATCTAAAAAAAGATTTTATTATAAAAGGATTATTTTTTATATAAAAATTTCAGTTTAGTAATTTTGTATCTTTTTAAAGAAGTATTAGTTGATTATTTGAAAAAATTGCTTTTATAGATTATAATAATAAGTATAGATAATCAATGAAGTATAAAAAGAATAAATTATTCAAAATATTGAATAAGGTAAGATCATAAGTTAAAGCTAATAATATAAATATATAATCTATATGAAAGAATATATTATATAAAAAAGATCAAAAAGTAGTTAAGAAAGATGATGAAAAGAATGAAATAATGTAAATAAAGCTAAAATTAATAATTTTATGAAGGAAATCCTATCTATATTTAATACTATAATTTTGTGATATATTAATATTAAAATTATCTATTAATATTATATGAAAGTTAGAATATCTTAACTGTATTAATAACTCTATAAGTTTATTTTAGATTTGAATTTTATATTTGAAAGATCCTTTATTATTGAATGTGATTAAAAGAAAAAATTCTTAATTTGAATTTAATTTAAACTGAAGATTAATAAATAAAATATAATCAAAAAATGACTATTGATTAAATATATGATAAGTTAATAAATTTCTAATAATGAAGCTAAACATTTTAACAGTTTTGTGAATGGTTGATACTATGAAAAATGAACTTATAAGGTTTGTTTATATAAATTTTTGTTAATATAATTGCTTATAATATTATTAAATAAGTTTTACTTAGTCTTAAAATATCTAATTTAAATTAATAAAAAAGATTTTAATTTGTTGTAATTTAATAGCAGAAAAACAGTTTCTAATATTATGAATAGCAAATGATAATAAATTGAGATTATTAATTAAACTATAAATTAAATAATTTGAATACTTATTTAATTTATTAAATAAATATATTACAAGTAATCCATTTAAAAAGTTTCTATTAGTTATAACACTCATTGAAAAATATTAAACATTAGATTAATTTATATAAAATAGTAATTATTAAGTGTATTTCTTCATAGAGATCATTAACAGAGAATTTAACTTATATATCTTACTTATTGATTCAGAATGTAAAATGAATCAAAAATATCATTAATAAATGATAGGATAATTTAGATATTATTTTATTATTAAGTGTTTAAGTATAAGTTGATAATCTTATTTTTTAAGTTAGAGTTTAAGTCAATTTCATTGATAAATTCATATCAGTTTTTTACTGTTATCAGGTATTTCAATATAAGTATTTAAATAAAATAATTTATAATTAATATTTTGATATATCTTTTTATATAAAATAATCTGATTTTTATAGAAGTGATTTCATTTAAGAAAATTAATAATTTATTTTTAATTAAATCAAAATAATCAATAATATTTTTAAAGAAATTTTTAACCATTAGAGAGTATAAAATTTTAATTAGATTTTGATTGCTTATTTTTTGATTTAAAAGTATTAGTATATAAGTTATTATTATAATATTGAGCAGTTAGATGAAATCTTAATGAATTGTATTGCTTTGACTTAAATTGATCATATAAGGATTTGTATAGGTTTGTTGAAATTCTTTTAAAGTATTCTTTAAATTCATAGTCTGGTGATCTATATTTTCTATAATATTTATTTATTAAATAGAACTATCTAATATAAGACAATTTCTTAAATTTTTAATATTGTACTGCAGTAATATTAAGATCTTTTAAGATAATAAAATTAATAAATGTATATAATTTAAAATGATGTGAATTAAAAAATCAAAGAAATATATTGATTAGTATTAAATAGTAATTTAATAAGCTTTAATTTAAATTGTTAAATGTAAAGTAGTTTACATTAAATTAATATTAGTGAATTCTATTTAAAAAGTAAATTCTAAAAAGAAGACTAACCAAATATTATTGTAAAAACATATAATTGCTTTATTTTTTCATAAACAATAAATATGATTTACTAAGATTCGTAAAAATCTGATGATATATTATATTTAGTAAAAAAAATTTCTAATTTTATTAAATTTAAAAAAAAGAAATGTCTGAGATTTTAATAGATCTACCTTTTTAAAATTAATTTTTAGCTATTTAGTTACAGAATCAGTAACTAAAAAAATTGAATTATATTGTATTTTGTATTTTTGTAATAGTATAATTAAAGGTCTTCAAAATATTAAAGTAAATCATAAATTTTATTTTAAATAAATAGTTTAATCCTTAATAATTATTAAAAAGAATAAATAATGAGTTAATAAAATTACATTTCTTAGCAATAAAGTTTTCTTTATATTAAAGGCTGAATTAGTTACATAAAATATATTAATAAAATAATAATATTATAAGAATAATCTTTATATTAATATAACAAGATAAAGAAATTTTTGTTTTTCTTTAATTTTTTCTAAAATAAAAGTGAAAAATAATTTACTATTATTATTTGTTATTAGTACAGTCAACTCTTGTTATAACAAACTTTATGTTTTAGATTTCAACTTCATTATAAGACTATAGTAAAGATTTTAAGAGATTTGATTGACCAATTTATTATAACAAGAGTATTTTTATTATATTTATTCAAAAAATTCGTTATCAATCAGTATGCATGTCCAATTTACATGTCATTATAATTAAAAATTCTTATGTAACATTCATCTAGATATTTCATTAAAAATCTTTTATTCTAAATCACAATATAATCATTTTTTATTCTTAATATAATTTTTTTAACAGCACTTCTTCTATCAAAATAACTAAAAGTTTGGCATTTTCTGCTTTTCTGCGAAATTTTATTTTATCAGCAAGTTTATCTATTTTTGACATTAAAACCTGAGATTCTTTTGTTACTAACTTTTAAATAAAAAAAAAGTATCTAACAATCTTTATTTTTAGCAAATCTTTTAACATAATCACTTTAAGAAACCAAATGCAATAGAATTTCTTATGAAAAATACCATTTATTTTTTATATAATGAAACTTTAAAGAATTTTTTATTTTATTTAAGGTAAAATTATTAAATTTATTTATGATTATTGTTTTTATTATATTTATAATGAGATATATATTAATTAATTCAATTCTTATCCCATTCATTTTCCAATACTTCTCTAATCTGATTTATTTAATCACTAGTTGAATATTCAGAATAAGTCACCAATAGTTCTAAAAGCTCTTTTTCTTTAAGTTTGATTTACTATATTTGTTGAATCAGTTGGTATCTGTTTGTCTGAAATAGCTTGATGAGAATTTTCTGTATTTGATTGTGAAATTGATGCAATAGTAGCTATAACTTTTTTCTTTTTTAAATTTTGATTATTAGGTTTCCATCTTGTAATTCCTAGCTTTCTCCTTTCAATTTTATTACTTATTTGTATTGAAATAACGTCTTGTAAAAAATTGCTTTTATTCTTGAGATTCCATCAGAAAAACAATTACTAAGACATGTAATATCACTTGTTGTAAGTTGATTAGGAGAGGTAGTATTCCACAAAGAATTTTGATAGTAATTATATTCATCAGAATGACAAAATGATGACAAAAGTTCATTTACAAAATTTCACATAACTGATTTATGAGTATTTACAGCTCTCTGTCCAATTGATTCACAAGGATCATTGAGATATTCTGATGATAATATTCCTATACAATCTCATTCACTTTGAGTATCTTTAACTTGTAACTTTAAATTATTAACATCAATTACATTTCCAGTAATGTTCTGTTTAATAAACTTAACGCTAAATATCTCTAATGCTTTATCAAAAGCAAAATAGTGATCTTTTCATTTTTCGTCATCATTAATTTTAACTGATGATACATATTCTAATTTTTCTTCGAGTTTAGGATATTGAGCTAGTATTCCAAGGTATTTTGTAACGAATACTGAATAATTCGATTTTCCTGCTGATGTAAATAATCCTGCAAAACAAGTCAGAGCATTTTTTTGTAATTTATAATTATCAACATAAATTCTAATATAATGAGCTTTAAAGATTGATACTCATTATAATAAAGATACCATATTCGTAAAATACTATTAGCATTACTATTTTCATCCATAATATTATCTTTATTGAGTTTTGTTTTTTCATGTAAATGTGAATAGCAATAGCTACTGCATACTATATTAATTCTAAGATATGATCTGTAGAATGGTAATCTATAACTTTATCAAGTTTATCTAAAAATTTGACTCCTGATGCTTTTGCAAGATCAAAAATTCCATAGCTTGAAAATAATACAATTAGAATTCCATACATATCCTTTGATATATGTCATTAGCCAAGAATAGGTCACAGATTTGGCCATTGTTCTCATTGTTTGATTAACCTTCTAAAGATTGCTTTATTAGTTACTATATCTAAGTAATTATGTGATTCTAATTTGAAGTCTTGTTTATACATTTCTGTAAATTGAAATATTCTTTCGTCTGAATTTAGAATTTCGTCAATTTCTAAAATAACTATATTAAGTGTATCAGCTGAACAACCATGATCAATATTTTCAAATTTTTGGTGAATTGTTGTCATATCAAAATCAGTATTATAGGTAATTTAGTTTTTAGTATTAGTTTGAAAATTTAAAAGGTTATCAATAATTTTATCGAACATATCCTATGTATCTTTTATCTGATTGTTCTATTTTTCTACTCAGTGTTCATGACCATCAGTATGTCCACTTATATGAAGAGTAGATAAGAGTTTTCTGAATGATAGAAAAAGCTGTAATTTTTGGAACATACTTATCATTACTTGTATAAACCAAATATTAAGATAAGGAAATACCATACTTGTGATAAGTGAAATCATAAATGTTACACATTTAATAATATATTCTTTATCTAATTATTTTAAAGGTTTGTCACATTATTTTCATTTAAAATTCAAAATTGCTAATTTTTTTTTAAAAATTTCACCAATAATCCCATCAAAAAATCCTGTTAAAAATTTTGGAAAACTTTACATAATATGTATAAAGAGAGGTTGGTAATTGTATTTTTTGCTTATTTGCTATAATAATTTTATGCGCATTCCAAACTTCGTCTCCTAATTTTTCTCCAATTTCTTTTCATTTTTCAGCTGTTCAATCTAATTTTAGATGTATAACTTCAACTATATAATTAATATTAAATAATAATCTTAAAAATAAATAATTAGATAATCTTAATAAAATTGTAATTATTTGTGAATCTTTTTTATTGATGTACTTATCATGATTTGAATAACATGTATTGTTTCTAAGATTATAATATTCATGATTTAAAGGAAAAGATTCAGATGAAAGTCTCTTACAGCTGTATAAAAAAAAGAACTTTGTTTGAAAAAAATATCATCACCTTTTTTAAAACAAAAAGACTTAACTAATTAATATGATATTAGTAAAGGCATGGTAAGTGATATTTTAAAGGAGAAAAACCATTGGCTTTCTGTGAATACCAATTTATACCAAATCAATTTAAAACGTGAAAAAAAAACTCTATTCCTTCTCATTGAAGAAGCATTAGTAATATAGGTAGATAACACACTCAAAGCTAACTTCATTATTATTGATGATATTTTTTCAACAAAAACCTTGAGTTTTGCTTTTTTATTAAAGGAGGATAAGTTTAAAGGGTCTAGTGATTGAATGGACAACTTTAAAAAATAACACAACTTTAAATAATACCATATATACAGAAAAGTCGCAAGTACACCATTCAAAGATCTCGAAATAATAAGAGAGAATTTTTGGCAAATATTAAAAGAATATAATCCTAAAGATATATTCAATTGTGATGAAATAGAACTGTTTTAAAAGATGAAATTATGTTAAATGATATCTAATGAATAAACATCAGAAAAGAAACAATTAAAGGATTATGCAATGATCCTACTCACATGCAATGCAATGAAGAGTGAAAAGCTGACGTCTTTATTCATACACAAGTATGAAAATCCTAGGGTTATTAAGAATATTAATAAAAGAACGCTTTCAGTTGAATATTATTAGAACTAAAAAAGTTAGATGCAAGTTTTAATCTAGAATGATTATATAAAAAAACTCAATACAAAAATGAGAAGACAAAATCAGAAAATTATCCTTCTTGTGAATAATACTCTGACATACATTCTTTATAAAACCACCTACCTGACTAACATCATCATTTAATTCCTTCTCCAAATACCATTGCACACCTCCAACCTTGTGATCAAGGTATCATAAATAGTTTTAAGGTGAGAAATGTAATTGATTTAATAATTCTTTAGTTAAAATATAATTGATATTAACTTTATTTATACTTAATTCTAATTCAACTTATTTTAGGCATAGAATAAAACTGATAACTATATATTACTTAAACTTAAATGGTTAAAGGAGATGAAAGAAGTTCAAGTATTAATCAATAAACTAGATTTTGACAATCCTTTTTTTGCCAAAGAATTTGTCAAGTATGATAAGTCTAAAATTACAGGCAAATGATATTTGATGAAGAAATTTTAAAAGTAGTTTTACCTGATCAAAAAGACGAAAGAGAAGAAGACTCTTTATCACTAATAATTACTTTTAGGGAAGTTATTAGGATTTATGATAAAGTAATTTTATATTTGAAGTAGCAAGAAAAATCTTTTGGCATGAAAAAGGAAGAGTTAAGGTCTATTAAAAAGCTTAGAAAAGAAGCTTTAAAATAATAGTTTGTCTTTTCAAAACAAACTAATCTTAATAAATTTATTACTATAATTGAATAGTAATTTAGAAGTTACGTAATAATATTTACAGTTTGTTTTTTTTATTTTTTACGGAATAAAATAATATCATAATCACAAAAAATTTTGATATATTAACTAAATAATACTCCTATGATTGTATTAAAATTTTATTAAAATTTTGTTGAAATTGTATTGAGAAATCACATTGTTTTTATTAATTTTTGACCAATTTTTTGTTGAACTAGTGTTGAAATTGCTTATTGATTTTTTATTAAATTATGGCAAATAATTTTATAATGATTTTTATTTATCACTGAGGTGATGATTTGTTAATGTAGATTTACTTTAATTATCTGATATATTATATTTATTAATTTGCATAAGTTATTTTTAGATTGATATAATTTTTATAAATAATACAATGTATAATTATTTTGATTTGTTATTTTTAATACAAATCAGAATTTGGATCATGAAGAGTTCTTATGTATTATTTCAATCATGAGTTTTACTTGTTATATTTGGATTGATCTAATTTTTTATAAATAATATGATGCATAATTATAATATGATACTTAAATTATTATTTTAATTTTTTGTATTTAATACAAATTAGAATTTCAATCAAGATTGTATTATTTTAATCATGAGTAAAAAATTTCACAAGATATTAAATCAAATGGATAAATTTATTTATAAAAGAAAGTATTTTTACTAGCGTATAATTTTTCACTTTTTGAAATTTAAATCCACCTTTAAATCATTTTAATTTACTCCTTTAAATCATATTTTTTTACAAATACAAAAATGATTACAAGAATAATTTGGGAGGATAATAAAATAGATTTATTAGTTGAGAAAAAAAGAAGGAGAAATGAAGAGTACCATGTAAGGTACAAAGGTAATAAGATGGAATTCTGAAGGAGTGTAACTTGACGAATCAATTGAAAATATAATAAAGCATATTTAACTCGCTAATGAGAGTTAAAATAGAGGAATTTAGTATAGAATTACAATGTAAGTAAATAAATAAATAATAATATAATAATAAATATAACTTAACAGTATAATTAATATCTTTTAGGACTTTTATGATTATTGAAATAGAGCGAAAAGAAGTGGAAGGTGGACCTATACTGTGAAAAGATTATACAATCTTTTTAGAACTCGATTCTAGGATAAGCCAGGTAATAATTAAAATGTTTAAATGATTTTTTAGATTTATATTAAATATATTTACTTTTCTAGAATTGAGGCACACTCGAAGAAGAAATCGTTATTTACCTACTATGAGGCAAATATAAAATATAAAGTAAAATCGTGATGAGCCTGTGAAGCAAAACTGAAATAGACAGTAAAATTGTAATGTGCTTGCAAAGCCTACAAGGCAATAAAAATTTCATTTTTTTTCATATCATTTATTTAATTTCTTTGTATCATTCGTTTAATTTTATTTTTTTTCATATTGTACGTTTAATTTTATTTTTTCATTTCATTTCATTTTTCTAATTTCATTTTTTCATTTTGTTCTATTTTTCTATTTCATTTTATTTTCTTAATTTCATTTTTTTATTTCGTTTCATTTTCTTAATTTCATTTTATAATTTCTTTTTATTTATTTAATTTCATTTTTCATCTCATCTTGTTTACTTAATTTCATTTTATAGTTTTATTTCAGTTTCTTAATTTCATTTTTTCATTTTATTTAGTTTTCTTAATTTTATTTTTTCACTTATTTGGTTTTTTTTTCGTTTCGT